GATGCCGCACTGTACTTACCCTTCCCCTTATCCCAGAAAACGTTGGCCTTCACATTTCCGGTTGGTAGGAGAGTCTTCGACTACTTTAAAAACAGGTTCACCGAGTGAAGTCCACTGCTTTGACTCATATGATTGCCAGAGCGCTTAAATACTATATGATTTGTTCGTTGTCCGAATATCTTGGAAGATTCCACGAAATACCCAACTCTTTAACTAAGCCCGCGGGCGACTCTGAAACATTTAAACTAACCTTTGACAGTCTAAATCGAAGGAGAAGAGACACAGTATACAGGATCTAAATTTTACTGCGCGATTTACAATACTTTCTGAAATCAAGAATCGAATCAAAGATCTTCATTGTCCTTCTTCCATTTTTCTTAAATCTCCGGATTCCACATTCGGCTGAATTCTGCTACACGATAGTAAATTTCACTTGCGGTAGTTGCGCTATCAGACGATGAAGTTAAGGATTTATTAGACTCCGCTCGTATATACCACTCTATCAGGAGAGGGAACTTTTTGCACACTTATCTGCTCAGCCGTTGTCGGTGCGTTCTATCATTGCTTTTCGTGGTTATCGTTCACGACGTGTTCCTGTTTTCCGTTCTTATATCAAACTTTTTCAGTTATTTTTGTCGTTCGTCTGCTGTTGTTATTGCCTGCACTTCTGCAGTTGACGACCCAAAAATTCAAATTAACAGCGAGAAATGAAAGTTTGCCTGTCATGTCGTTTCATTGCTCGGTTGGCCGCCTCGAAATGTGCAAGGATGCAATTAGGTTCTACGCTGCTTCTGTTTTTATACCCTCATACGACCACACAATATGTCTGCATGTGTCGGGTACTATATACAAGTACATAGGTATCTATTGCTTCTAATGGGACCGACTTTATGTGTTATTCCGAACTGCAGTCCGAATAGAGCAACTGACTGTTGCCAAAGTTGTGCTTGCATTGTCACATGTGCTTCCAGATGTATGTACCAGGTGGAAAGAAAACAAGTTAAAAAGAGTAAAAATAGATGATAAGATTAGATAAGGTGTACTGATCAATTTTTGAGAAAAGTGCATATTATTATTAAGAATTATGGAATGTTCTCTGATATTTTTGATAAAATTTCAGCCGTATACACCGAGGTCCACATATTCGATATGTATGGGCTTGAAAAGTTACGAAATAAGTTCAATAAGGCTGCGATAACGATTCCCACCAAGGTAACGATTCATTTCGATTTAAACTGTATACAGTACGTCAAGTGTACGAAAGACCCAAGTACACATAATCCTACAAGAATTCATATTCATTATATCAAAAGATAGAGAAGCCATAAACAGACTGTCTAAGGATTGCACTAGACGCAAATGGTTAGTCCCTGCCAGGCAGTAAATCTCTCAGTTAATAAAAAACAGCTGCGTGCGAGAATGAAAATTAAAGGAATTGTGTATTCCAAAATCCCGATTGTACTAGATTATAAAACGTTAATCTGTTTCCCCGATATATAGCAACTAACTTACAAATTAAAAAGACAAATTTGGAGTATCAGACGGAAGAATGTAATCTACAAATTGCTGCCAGTGAGAACTGTTGTTGTTATCTCGGCGACATTTGGTTTAAACAAGACGCTATTCAGAGTACACTTTAGTGAACCGATAATTTCACGTTTCGGGCCGGTCGATTGGCCACCAAGCTCGTATATTATCACGCCGTTAGAATTTTTCCTATCTAAAGTCTATACGGATAATCCCGCTTCGATTTTGCCGAAGCCTGAAACAGCAAAACATCACGCGTGTCAGTCGCCAATTACCAGTCGAAATGCTCGAACGATAAATCGAAAATTGGACTCAACGGATAGACCATCCGAAACGTAGCCGCGGCCAATATTCAAAAGAGATAATCTTCAAAAAATAAATGATAAATAATGTTGTTTTGAAAGTTAATAAACATTCCCCATTAAATTCGTAATTTTTCTTTAAAATGTATGAAATTTATGGTGTTGACTTATCACCGAACACAAATTGGCAAAAATAAAGAGGTTTTTTTATGTTAGTCGCATAGAAGAATTATGTTAGTAATATCAATTGAACGAGGATATTTTCACTTATAGTCGTACTGAATGTAGGCGAAATCGATTCAGTCTGTTAAGAGAAATTATATAGATCGTCGTAAAAAATATTAATAACAACAATATTGGTAATTTTTTGAATTTCGAAAAATCTTCAAAGTTGTAATTTTTTATTTGTCGTTTAGAACCAAAACCATTTGTTGTACGACCATCGAAAATATGCATATACACTTGGGAGATTTTGTTTCATTTTTTATTACCATTCTATGTGCATAACAATACGAGAACGGACCCGGTCAAGAGTTCGCTCCAGTAGAAAGCGTTTTGCTTTTTGAGTTTGATCGGCCAGTTTAAATCCAAAATTTCAGGAATCTATATATAAATATATATTATTGAAGATACCTTGTCGAATAACAAAGTTCCCACACAAGGACTTGATTTGGATCGGGTAGTGTATATGAAAGCTATACGAGTATACTAAAGCAGTCCGGTTTGCATATATTTGTGAATTGCAATCTTTGGAAAGTAAATCGTGCTGAATTTCGTTGATATATCTTGGTTAATAAAAAGGCTTTCGATAGTCTGCCAGTTTGCCCGATAGCGGCGATTCCAATAAATAAGCAGGTTCTTGAAAATAAAATGACATGTTCAAAATTTCAGATCGATATCTCAAAACCTAAGGGACAATTTCGCGTGTTTTACGCCCCCTGTACAACAATATTCCATTCTGTTCGAGATGTTCGAAGATGTGACACTCTATTAAATATTATTTTTTCGCATACTGAAAGTAATTTTGGTATTTTTATATGTAGCACATAGAGATTTATCAATAATAATTTACTTGCTTTAAGGAATTGAGGCTGATAGACCTTCTCTCAATACTCTCTCTTCGTGTGAATATGTTGTTCATGAGATGAGTGCTGAATTATCGATTAATTCTTTAAGAATAATAAATTTATTGCTAAGGAAATAAAGAAAATTGAATATGGAAATATGGTGGCAGTATTTCCTTTAACTCGACTGACTTTTTGCTGTAATTATATTGATATCTTTGTGTTTAACATGGATGGAACAAATTAATCGTCTTTATTGCCGTCAGTGAAGTAAAAGGAATATTTATCGCCCCATATTTTGATCAAAGTATCTGCTTAATGAGGGTAAGTATCTAAAAGATCCTGTAATAAATGTAATGTAAAAGATACATAGGAGATCATGATTTTAAGCCTGGATTCAACTATGATTCTAAAAATACCGTCATTACTGACTTGCAAGATCTGAGAGGCACTAATGGAGCTCAAAATCTGTTGGCAGGCTTGCAAACAACATTAAGAGACTATTATCAAAAGAAAAGTTGTGAACTAAGTATACTGAGGACGTTCAACGGTCTTCCAGTCCAGGCATTATTCTATAATAAAGCTCACTGCCCAGTGCATATCAACATATGTATGTACATATGATGCACCATTCATATGCACCGTATACTTAGATATGCCTCTACTTCCAGCAAAAAACGCTTCTATATACAGATTAGCTTGATTATATGAAAATGCAGGCACTTGTAATCTTACGTTTTGCCATTTGGCATTGGCACAATTTTCACAAAATATTGCAGAACTACTACAGTTACAATTATGCTCGCCTCTGTGCTGTAGTAAAACCGACGAAAAAAAGAAAATAAAAGAAAAGTAATAAGTACACTTACATACATACGAGTACTTTTACATAGAATTTTGTGTGATGGAATCGCTGGAGAAGCAATTTACCAGAGCTGCAAGAGCGGTTGTTAACTGTAAACCCTCTTATCCGCCTCCGACTTAAAAGTTCATTTCAAGCATTCTAAAACGGCTTACATTTGTTAAATATTAACATTGTAATATTTACTTACTGAAACAGTTTCACTTTGTAGTTCAGTGTTAGTTACAAACATACACACGCATGTAAAAGTGTGAAAAAAAGGCTGAGTAGTGCTTAAAATATTAATCAAAAAAGCTATTAACAACAAATTTTCTGAGGTAAAGTAATGACCTCGACACAAAAAGTAGTGTATTTTAACAAATATTCACAATTTCACAATAAGTTGCAGTCTCTATAAAAAAGAACTTAAGAGTGACATATATAGAGCTATTTTTCGACGGCATATATTCAAAAACTTTTATTCTAGTTACTCGATAGTTCGACTCGCAGTGGGAATTTGAATAAAATTTGAAGTTTTTGCATGTAGCAGGAGTGGTTTTGGGCCTCTCAAACATATTATCAAAATTTTAACGTTACTAACTGGTTTGAGAATTTTTGGCGGCTATCCTGGCTCTCAAATACGAATGGATCTTAAAGCCTTTCGTAGTTTGTATTTAATGTACTTGTAGTTAGGACGTCATTGTGATAGACTATACCATAGTACATTCATCGTTTCATCACTTCGTAAGTTGGCGACGAACATAAAGTAATTTTATCGAGCCCCAAGAGCGAGGTATCGGATTTTCGTTCGGCATACGAATCAACCAATACACTGATGGCATTGTTTTTAAAATTTATGCTGGTTCCAAGGCTTACAAATACTCTATAACTTCGAAGTTTTGATGTGCATTGGACATTTGAAGTTTTCGTGAATGTCAGAGATCATCGACGTATTGATGTTAATTTTTTTCACACAACTGTACACAAATTTTTGCAATATCAAGTAAATATAACAGATTTTATATAAAATAATTTAATTTTCCCATCTGCCACTAAATATTTTTTTAAATCAATTTATGTGGCGCGAATTAGTTAACAAATGAGAGGGATTCGCAAATTCACACACATTCGTATTTATGTTTCTCTATGCTTGTGGCTACATCTCGTTTTGCAATAAAGTGCTAATACATAGTTCTTTATTTTGTTATTGTAATTTGAGTAATCAACGAGTTTACAATGTTTTCTTTTATTTCATTTCATTTGCAGTTGCTGAACAACGCTATGAGCCGGATTGAATTTTGCATTTTTATTGGTAGCAATGTACTAATTAAATGCAATATACACTTGTTTGTTAAGGAGTATGGAACGGTAACATCATGGCGCCAGGAACCGAATTTCAATATATTATATATCCATCGATAGAAGTAGGTGAGTAGAAATTATGTATTTACTTTGTATTTTACAAGTACAGTGGAATTACGCTAAAAAACCACACTTATTGAAAATCAAAATGTAATACTGTTAAAGACGATTAAGTGGGCTCCCGATGTGAGTGTGAAAAAGCACTAGTTATAAACTATCTAAAAATCCGTTTAGAAATTACCTAACTGAACTTCTGTATAACACAAAAAGGCTTGCCATTCCAAGTATTTCGGATTTCTCAGCTTGAGTTTCTGGAATAGCATATACTAAATTCCACTCAGAGCGCATTAAGAAAATGAAACCACGCGCTTAGGCTAAGGGATATGACGTTTCGCCTTTTGCTGATACGCGTACTATTGTACAATGCATTTTCTTTTCTTATAGTTAACTCTCGGCATCCAAGAAGTAGATACTTGTATGTTTTCCTCCGATCAAATTCCCGCTTAGTGTATATGACGCCTCAGTCTACAGTGGCCAGTGTACATGGCAAAAATAGTCTAAAGCTATCACTGAGGAGGTTTTTTATACTGTCTGAATCTTCTATTCCTGTTTTCTGAAGTTTCGAGGCATTCTTATAAGATATAAATCCCCTTCGAAAATTTATTCCGGTTTAATCGGCTGGAGGGCTACCGCATTTATAGCCAACCAGTCACATATTTCGTTAACATCAACACCGCTGCAATACTAATAATTGCATTTTTGTCCCCACATCAAAACAAATTTTATAGTCCTGTTGAAGGTATAAATATTAAGATTTGCATGAATACTAGGCAATATTGAACGAAGTGCTTTTGCGCTCGGCCTAATTAGGACTATTTCTTTGTGTTCGTGGATAGATGAACGTAACTTAAATTGTCAGACATAACTTCGGAATGTACTCCGGAAAAGAATAAGGCATAATAAGATGTGATGATATATATTTTGGGAAGTTAAGAATTCTTCCATTTCACCTTACCAGTTCCCGGGTTCAATCACAGCTTGCAAAAGCGCATACTGTCTTTAAAGAAACTTCAGAGGAAACTGAAGGCTTGGAAAGCTCTAATTAACTTACCGGTAATCATAAGCGAACGACTTCAACGATCTAATGGTTCTAAAATTCCAATATCCTTCGATATTCTAATAAAGCAGTCTTACCACAGTAAAAATTAAATCTACACAACTATTTGCTTTTCATATTCTATGAGAGTGTAAATTTGGTGATTCAACAAAGGCTAGAAAAAGCGGCGAACCAAATGTGCGATCCATCACCATAGCATAAACGGCGAGCAACAGTCAACTGCGGGTTTGTTAGCAAACCATTTCATGCTGCGCGCCATACTTTCCGACTTCCGTCGCTGGTGCTACGAGTTTCGAGAGTTCAGAGTTTCAGCGTGGAACTCCCTCAACAACCAACGGCCATCCACAGTAGGGGAGCTCGTTGCACATATCCTTGTTGAAAACTTTATTATGAATAATTTTATATATATACCTCAACCTACCAAAGGTATTTAAATACCGATGCACATGTGCGCGACCATGTGCATGTATGTGCGATTGTAGTTAAGTATCTAGTGGAAAAAGTTAGACAACGTATCAACAAATGAAAGCAGCGCAAAAATAAAAGGAACAAGTTAATTTATTATACACGGCATTTGCGCTCAAACGTAACGGTTTTGCGAATTATTTTACCGCTTTTTTGTGCACACTTTGTTAACATACCTTCCTCTATATTTTTAGATGCCAAAATCATATGCTGCCGACCGGCGAACTTCTAGTGTACAACATCACACGCACCGATGCGACCCAAGTTTATCGCTGCCGCAGCCATCACAAGCTGACGCAGGTCTCCCTTGCTAGCAGCATATGTGCAAAATTCAATTGACTTGTAAGTTAACTACCGCAACAATAATACTAACAACAAATAGTGGCTATGCAGCATCGCAAAAGCCATGCACGCTTGACCCCACCACACGTCATTAGTTTGTTGTTCGCCAAAAGTATATTTTCTACTCGCATGTTCTAGTATAATGCGTTTGGGAAAAGAAGCAAGAAGCTAATGCCAAAAATCTCTAAATTATCTAGTGAAAGAAGTCAAAATTATATAAATTATTGATATAAAAAACCTTATTTATTTTAAAATTTTGAACTACTTACTTGCCTTTGAGTTAATAAAAATGTTCCTTTATCTTACCGTTTTGTCAAATATTATTGCATCTATGTATATACAGTGTTGTATAAATTAGTATTATTTTTTTGAGATTTTGGAAAATCCGGTTGAATGTAAGTCACACATTAAGGTTTTGCCTTCAAGTCTGGCACATCGATCGCTTCGTGTATATATGAGGGTTCTTATAGCTACACCTAGTAAAGGACACACCTTCTAAAGGACCGGTGTTATAATGTTTGAAAGGTATCCTCGTAATCTTTTTCGAGGAATAATTTTCGAAACCAATCTAGATGCTTCGTTACATAATCTGGTGGTAATTATATTAACTAATTGAAATACGTGTGATGCTAGAAGAGAGTTCGCCCTTAGCCTATCTGTTATTCCTCTAGAATCTATTTACAAGTCTTTTAATGCCGCTTACATTAAAAAATTCTGATGTGTGCGACCACTGAGGTACTTGGAGTTGAATTTTTGAAATCAGAAATCAGTTTTTTTTGGGAAAAGTATTTTATAAGTTATAATGTACCCCTTTAAATGTTAAATATATATATCTGAAACAAAATATTCAGCAAAAAACTTAACAGCAATCCACAGTTTGACTCTGGATCTCTAAAAATTCCTCATATTTTCCTTGTAATTAGAAAAAAAAGAAAGTTCTATTTGAGACTTTCCACCACAAAACTAATTTTGACAATGACTTGACAAAAATCTTGTCGAAGATTATGCTGAGCCCTAATACAGCAGACAAAGGTGTATCATTCTACATGATATCTATAGTAATTAATAAAGCCGGGGATTTTGATGGAGCATGGGAGGAGCATCTGTCGAGGTAAGAGATTTACAAAATAGATGAAACGATTTTTTTTTTACCTGGGCCTCTTTTGTGTTCTTTCAGCTGGGGTCTTTAAAAAACTCTACCTAATTGTTGTTGTTGTTGGTAGGAAATGCATATGTAATTGCCGTTAGTGAATTTTAATTTAGTTTCATTTGCACTGATTTCTTGCAGAATCTGGTCTATCGGACCTAGATTTTCTGGTATGAAAATATTAAAACTATAACAAAGCTGGAATTAAATAATAATTCGTTTTTACTTAAAAATTTATAATTTTAGTTATTTTTCTGTTATAGTTGTCCGTCTTTCGTTCGGTTAACGGTTAACTCAGTTTTAGTAATCTAATAAAATAATTGTACTTAAATCATAGTTTTAATGTTTCTTAGTCAACTGTCTTCAAAGCAATACCATGTACAGATTTGCTTTATAAATGCAGGCTTTGGTATTCCTAATTTACGCCTTCACAAGATTTCAATCTTGTACTGAGTTCTCTTTCATTAATAACAATCCAACTAAAATATCTTTTTAACATTTAGCTAATCAGCTCTCATTCAACAAACACGACGTTCATTCAACAATTGTGCCTGATGGAGCCCCAACAAGTAACCTCAAATAAGTATATCTGATGAAAGAAAAGACTAACTCCGGCTATCTGCGGACATCTGAAACTACAAAGATATACCTATGCAAAGGTATACATACATATGTATATATATGTATATGCATATTATCGTGGAACGAAAAAAAAATAATTTTTTGCTTAGCCTGATGGTATAACCTGTGGATTATAAAAAAAGAAAATTTTTGGACAAAAAAACAAATTTTTTTAACATTTTAATTTTAAAGTAAATTTCGAGTTAAACTCTTTACATTTATATAAAAATTACCGAAGCTGACATTTTTTGGTTCGAAATTTATTTTAACGCTTAAGGAAAGCATGTTGTCGTTTAAGACTTTTTTTAAAACTCCAATTATGACCCCTAAAAATTTAGTTTTTTGTCCAAAAATTTTCTTGTTTTATGATCTACAGAGTTTACCCTCAGGCTAAGCAAAATCAAATTGTTTTTTCGTTCCACCCTAATGCATATGTACGTCATACATTCTTCGGAAAATGTAGCTCCGAGAATATTTACTAGCATTAGCATAATAATCATAGGTTTGGGAGAGGAAAGCTTAATAGGATGCGAAGTTCTACGCGAAGCCATTGAAGTTGATAATATAGTTAAGAAGGACAGAGAGTTATATATGATCGAGTAGACTCTGGGGTTTATAGCTTTTGGAAATTGTATATGGCGATCCGGAAGATACGAACAATGGTAAAAGATGCCGAAGAAGTCAATGAGCTAAAGCGAAGTAGAAAGCAGTAGAATGCTCTCACAGTGCATTACTTAATTTACATAGAATAATAATATTTTAAAAGTATTTTCTTTTCGTGGCTACCGTACGGTAAGTAATAGTCTGTAAAAAAGTAATTTATTTTGCGACCTTAGGTGGGTAAGTAGGTAGAGGGGCTGTCTAACGACGCACCTGGGCCTTTAAGAAACCCGTTGTGTTACCATCGATACTAAAGTACCCCCCCACCCCCCTCTATTTTCTCATCTCTGAACCGCCCCGTGCTCTGATGAAGTTCATTAGAACGAAAAGTTAATTCTGTTCAACCTACGATATGTCGTCAAGAAACCCTCGACCGATAGTTGCGATTATTTTCCTATATATAAAGCCTTAGAATATGTTTTATAGTCTCCTCTTTTTCTACATCCTGACAGCATCTACAATAATAATTATATGGCATTCCTAGTCTACTGGCATGTCTGTCAGTTAGACAGTGATCTGTTACACTCCTAGTAGAATTATTATATGATTTCATTTATCATTGTCTGCATTAGGGAGGGTATTCGGGAATTCACCTCTAACCGACACTGTTATATCGTCAGCGTAGGCCACATCATGTATCCCCTTCTTTTCCAGATCCACCAACATTTTGTACATTATTAGGATTCAGAGAAGTGGGAATAACACGGCTTCTTTAGGTGTACCTATTTATACAGATTTGTACATCGTTGAAGTTCCCAGTGTTGAAATAACTGACCTGGACATGAGCATCTGTTCAATTAATTTCCTGAGAGGCTCAGAGAGTTCACTAGATACAGTCCAGCTATGGTCTGGTATCTGAAGGTATCGAATCTTATCCACCGATTTTGCCATTGTTTCCATATCATTAAAAAAAGATTTACACGAATTTCTCTTTGTTTTCCTTACTTCTTTTTTGTATAAACTTAAGAGGTTATAATAGTTATCTCACTCCCCTTCTCCTTGGGTGCCATTCTCTTCAATTATGCATTCAATGTAGTGGTTTTCCGAAAAGGAGTGTTATTTAAGAACTATCCATTGGGTTATCTATTTATCAAATCAACCGACATCAGTGGGATGTCTAATACTTCTTGTCAGTTTCTTGTAATATACGTTGGCATACTACCTATGTTGCATAACAGAAGCTAGTTCCTAGTAATTGAAAAGACACTCACCTCTCACGTCTCTTTGACCATGCACTTTGAGGCCTCGCTGTCCGATAACAATTCTTTTACCAGCTGATGTGGTATTTGCTCCTCATCGTATGGCATATAAACTGACTGGTCGGTGGTAACAACTTCCACCCATCTCCCAGATTACTGCTGCTGTATCATGGTTGCTATAACGGTGTAACATAAAAACGTTAACCATTATACATGGCCTGACCTTATCTTCGCAGTTTTCCATGTATAAATTCTAGCCCGGTGTCCGTAGTCCGCCATTAACCTTGGCTCTTGAATGAGGACGAAGTCAGGCTGTTCTCCCGCCATTCGGTTAGTTAGGGCTAGAGAAGCTAATTTGCTGAAGAAGACGCACTAACTATTGTGTGTTACAGTATTTTTTACGTCACTCGAATTCTCCATAAGATTTTTTTCCACTTCACACATCTCATTTTCCGATGCCAAGTGGTCTACTGCATCCGCCATCGACTTGTAGGTCATGAACTTTACCTTCGTGAATACATAATTAAGCTCCCTTTACGCTTTTCATAAGCGGTTCTATGGATTCTTTTGTTAACAACAACAGAATTTGCATTGTAGCTCGTTTCGGCTCTACGAAAGATTCCACTGTGGGGCTTTCGAAGACCTTGACGAATATCTATCCCACATTTGGTAGATTCGGGTTGCAGGCTCTGATAAGCTGCATAACGTGGTCCAGTTTCGATTGTGTAGCCGTTCTCCATACCTTTGTCATTGGTCGGAATAGGATATCCTTCTCATCAACCGCTACCAGCCTGGCCACCCTCCTCCTCTTTGTTTTTTGGCTGACGACTTAGCCTCTTCAGCGGACCTCTGTCGCTTGGCTGCCACTGCTGGTGGTTGAAGCATAAAATTAGGCAAAACTGTTTTCGCACGATCAATGGATTCTTGGAGCTCCTTCTTAAACTTCTCGTTGGCTGACGGTTGCCGCTGCACCCTTCTCAGCCGCTGCTCGCTGGTTTAGCGATCTTAGCACTAGGCCTTTGCCTGGCAGACGCACTACTACCAGCAACACTTTTGGTACACTTTTTCTTTCTGTACACCCAACCATAGTAAGACTCACCATTTGGATGCTGTGCTATTGAGGAGCAACGAATACCCAGATAAGACCTCAGATCTTAAGTAAATACCTCCCAACTACAACAGGGGACCCCATTAACAACTCGGGTTTAGACGTTATATTTATTTAAAAGTATAGTGTTAAGTATCATGAGAATGCTGTTTAAAATACACTGAGATTAATGTGACTTTTCGATGTAATATTTGAGAAACTCTGAACAACCTTTGATCTTTTGATGCCGAAACTTTATTAAAAACTCCGAGTTTAATAAAGATGGGGTTGAAAAGCTTCTGAGTTTAACGAAACTTTTTGGTGCAAAACTTTATAAAAAGAAATTTGTTGAAATTCTAAAGAAAATTCAGTGCAAGTGATAAATGCAAATACATAATAAATAAAGACGGTTTAGAGTTTAATATGAAAACTCAAAACCCTCTACCTCCGCTTACATACCGCACAAAACTATGTGTGACGTTTATATATGCAAGACATTCCTTCGCAAATATATACATGCTATTGTACACGAATATATTTGCGATCGAATATTTGCGAAGGAATGTCCTGAATATTTGCGTACAAGTTCGCCGCCACATCAAGTCAAGCTGAGACAAAGTAAAACCGATGGGCAACAGCAGTAGTCGCCGAAGAGTGAGGACAACCACGTCAGGAGTAGGTACAGGGAAATAGCTCAACGCACATGAATGCTAAAACAGTTCCGTGGTAGGACGCACCCAACCGTGGAAGATGAATGTGGCAGGAGTAACAAACAGAAAACTTAAAAACCAAAATAGTATAAATAAAACAATAACAAAAGAAGAAACAGGAAAGACCCAAATGAAGCGAAAAATCATAAAAAAAGCAATTCAAAGGTGTGAGAAGTTGTGAGGGTATATACGATGTGTGGCATGAAACAGGAATGTTAGGCAGGCGGCAGTGTAAAGACGAGGCCTACTCGTGCAGACAAACGAAAAGAGCACCTCGTTATGCCTGCTCGGCAGCAGTGTGGCAGTTAGGCGTCAACGACCATTCCAGCGTAGACATAACATATGAATATATGTTTTTGCGCCTATGTATATGCTACATATATTTATTTGCACTAAATGTGGACAGTTCTTGCAATGTACATAAACAAACACATATGCACTTATTACAGTTGATACACTCGAGTACGTTGACATTTAATATGTCACTGCAGCCAGGCAGCATGACAACAATTGCACGACTAGCAAAAGCAGTGGCACTGCTAGTTTCACGCCGAACAGTGATCAAATGTGTATGAAAATTAGTTTTTCAAGTGAAACCGAGCACGTTTCGAATTTCAGAATATGAAGGTCCTGATATTAAGTAAATAAACAAAAGTGTTTGGGGACCTTTAAACCTAAAGCTGAACCCTTACGGTCGCCAGATTTTAATGCAATCACATATTTTTGTTGATCCCAAGTAGTATCTTTTCGTTATTCATGGTAGTATAGTGGATCAATATCTTTTTATGTTCTAGTCTTTAAAATATTATATTTTACTATTTTAAGGGTTAAATAGCAGCTCAAGCATAGAGTAAAGTAAGAATTATGTGTGTAACCATGTGTTTCCACTTCTTTGTATTTATAATAATAAAAGTGATTATAAATATTTTACGATCTTTTGTGTACAGTTTCATAGCAAGTTTGCTGGTCTTTAAACATAATTCAAGATCAAATTCTCAAATTTTGAAGTATTTCTACGATTCATCCAGTATTTCTATTACGGGACCATTAATACAGAGCATAACATCACATCAGCGCCATCTATCGGTTTAAAGCTATATAAGGGGTGATCCAAATAGAGGAACATTTTTCAGTACCCTTTTTAAAGAGAAGACGCGTGAGTCGTGTCAATCTGTCATTTTCTTTTTTTTTCAATATTGTTTGGCATTTCATCATTTGGAAAGACTTACAACGTTTACAATACGTTCAACTTTATTACGAAAATTCACGTCCTATAATGAATGTGTTTCGCGCGTTTCGCTCAACTTATGGTCTACATAATCGGCTTACTGAGCGTACTGTTTGCAACACCATCACCCATCTTGAGATCTAGCATTCATTATTGGATAATATTCGACCGAATAGACCACGTCCAGCACGCAGTAAAGAAAATAATATCAGCCACATTTGAGAGTATACACGAAGATCGTCGAGAGTCGATTCGGTGCCCTTCGCATCAACTCGGACTGACGTATGAAACGACTTGTCGCATTTACGTCAAGATCTTGAAATGAAAGTATACAAAATACAGCTTGTGCAAGAATTGAAGCCGTCTGATCTTCCCAAGCGACATCGCTTCGCTCTATGGGCTTTTGAAAAGTTCCATGAAGATCCGACGTTTTCGTGCCAAAGTTTGTTCAGCAAAGAGTCCCATTTCTGGCTCAATGGGTATGTAAGCAAGCAAAATGATCGCATTTAGGATGAAGAGCAACCTGAAGAACTGCTGCTTTATCCAGAAAAAACAACGGTTTGGCGTGGTTTGTGGACCGGTGGAATCAAAAAATGATGTCTTTGAGAACGTAACCGCCAATGGCGACCGTTATCACGCCATGACAACTAACTATTTTATACCAGAAATTGAAGTTTGTGATCTTGGCAACATTTAGTTTCAAAAAAACAACTTCCCACACATCGCATCATACAATGGATTTATTGATAGAAAACTTGGGTGTGCAGATAATTTCACGTTTTGGGAAAGTCGATTGGCCACCATTTTCGTATGATATCACATCGTTAGACTTTATTTCTGTGGGGATAAGTTAAGTCTAAAGTCTATCAATCGTCGGACAATCCCGCTTCGATTCAGGTCTGAGAGCAAAATATCACGCGTGTCGTTCATTGAACTCAACGAACGGACCATCTAAAATGTAGCCGCGACCAACGTTTCAAAGTAATATTCTTCAAAAAAAAGTTGGGAACATCGAAATGGATCAACCTTTAATATTACGATATGTGTTACGCAAGCTCGAAACTTCTAAATTACTACCAAATCGTTATAATGGTTTTTTTGTCTGTTTCTGTTCTAGACAAAACGAGGGAAAAATAGATAAAAATCCTTAGATTATTTCCCGAATGTTAATAGTAATAACACTTGTTCAGGAGCACTTATATCGACAACAACGTTTCGGGTGAGAATGTCATCAAGAAAATTATAAGCTGTCTTTCTAACGCTTTCCGACTTTGGCAAATAAACGTAGCCCCCAGGTTTTTCTGGTTTGATAAAGTTCCTATGAAAATCCAACGTAGGCGTTATCCATTTACATTTCCGGAAATATTCACGCAATTTATTTGAAAACATAAAAAACTCAAATAATTTTCGCACAATTATCCTAATGTTTAGTGTTTGTACTATGTACTTATTGATTTTGTTTTATCCCTTATTAGATATTCAGCATTTTTGGCTTCCCAACCGCCTTTGGCTGAAGGATGGTCGGCAAAACCAAAGTTCAGACGAAATCGTCGGCTACTCTCCACATAGCACATACGCATTACGTCCATTAGGAAGAAGGACAGGATGATGCATTAGTGTATTGTGAAAAATTATTTGTATTGTAGTCAGCTCAAGCCACCGTCCAATTGCGATTTGGAGGTGAGGGGAAAGCTAATTATGGCAATTACCTTATTTTACTTCATAATTTTAATAAAATTTCCTTCAAAAGTGTAAACTCAGTATTCAAAGAGAATGGGTCAGGTAGATGATCAAAAGATAAATGGAAAACATTAAAGCCAAAACTTAACCACAGCATATTTTGTATAAAAGGTCTAGAAGATGGAGTCAGTATCCTTCAGTTATTCCATCATTAACAAATTGGCATTGGGATTACAAAGAACATGTTTCAATTTGCAGCTTGTCTCAGATTCATCAGTTGTTGTTTTCGCTTTATGAAGCTCATCAGCTTTCTCATTTCTCTGTACATACCTGCGGATAGGCATATAGTCGGTGTTGACTTCGGCTTCGGCCTTTGTGCTTTCATAGTAATTTAACCTAGTTCATTAACGCTGAACCTTTCTCAATGCGACGTATTTCCGCTTAGGAGAAGTATGCACAATGCCGTGGAAAAAGTGAGAGGAGATTTCCCTTTTTTGTTTCTTATAAAAAATATGTTGTTGTACTCTTAACATTACACTTTAGGCTGACCGATACATTTTGAAATAGGATAATAGTATACCAACGTCCGTCTGGGGGTAACCCCATTTGAAATCAATTATGAAAATCTCACTTCCTGCTTTATAGTAAGAGCTTATTGAGGACTTTTTGAGATCACATTCGGCACAAATCATTCTTCTTTACGCTTAAGAATGCAGTTCTAATATCAATTTTAAGCTAAATCTTCTATAAGCTTAAAGATTTATAAATTATATTTTGTATGATACTTAATTAACTAATAACCACACTAATTTTCTTACAGAGATTGAGCCACAACTAATCTACAAATTTATTATGAACCAGGACCATTACTCTTGCTGAAGTACAGCGCCAGTGACAATCCAACACCGAAAATTGGCTGGCACATGGACGGACTTCCGTTACCAAATGTGAATACGGCAATCTTATCCTACTTTTATGTATATGTATGTGTAATTGGGAATGATTTAAGGTATACTGAACAGACAAATGTTGACGCAACTTATGAAAAATGTTAAACTCCCTGCGTGCAATAGTTGATATAAAGATAGCTTTGCTGTTAACTCATGAACTGCTTACATAAGTTTTTTGCTCATATATCTAGTTAATTGCATTTAACGCCATAATTAAATAGAATGTGGTACATCCTCACAACTTAAAAAAAGAGAGCATTCGAAATATACACCGGGCTCGGTGGCTTTGCGTAATAACGTTCTTTAACCAGAATTTAAAAAAGAGCAAAAGTAGAAAGAAACAGAACTAACTCGATTAGTCACCTGTCAGTTAAGTTGCTGCTTTGAAGACTTGGTGTCTGCGCACATTGTTGCCAATGCAAATGTCTTCATATTTCAAATCTAATTTCTTCATTTGTGGAAATTGCATATAAGAATATGTGCATACATATCTATGAAATTATAATATACCATATACACACATATACATATAAGTGAGTGTGCGCATAGTGAAGCATTAACGCGTGAATGCTGTCACCAGCAACTTAGAATATGACATATTGTGGTGGAAGTACTAGTCATGCGACAACACACACACTCACATAATTGATGGTTAAGCTAGCTTTGTATCTCAATGTTGGGTGATGAACGAGGGGTTTGGTAAAAGCATTAGAAGCCACAGTTGGCATATCGCACATATTTGTGCCTCTTCTCATACATGTATTCAACATCTTTACCCAACCAACCAATTCTTGTGGATCGCGAACAGAAACTTGGATCTCGTCCCAGTGTCTGCTCTGTCAAACGTCGTCATCAAATATCTTCAAGTTTAGAAAAGGGTCGGAGACCCTATAAAACTTAAGTTCTTGTAGGGAAAACTTTTTTATTTAACAAGCCACGTCACGAAATTTGGCTTAGTTTATTATCCAAAGCATCGGTGCAATCTTCGCACATATTGTTTAGATCGGACCCCTATAGCATACAGCTGCGATTTAAAATGAGTGTTCAAGGTCAGGATAAATATCTTTTAAAATCCTTTTACGCATTTAAAAAGGGTACTCCAACTTCGGTGCAGGCGAAGTTAACGGTTTTTCTGGTTTTAAGCTAACACTAATATCAAAGTTGCAGCACTTCAGTTTTTGCATCCCTAGAGATCACACATCGTCTTTAGCTTTGGCCATCCATGCGGTAGGCACAATGGCGCTGCACAAGTTACCAAAGCTACTCTTTCCTATTACTCTCCATGCTTCACTTAAGCGTTAGTGCGCTGCATATGTGCTTTCTTTTAATGCTGAAGTTTATTGTTGTTGACGCTTTCGTTGTTGCTGTAGTTAATGGCGGTTGCTGGGACAAGCAACGGCCAAGTATTTTACATAACTCGCATTTTGTTGTCATGCATGAGAGGATACGCAAATTAAAGTCATCGTCAGAGTTGTGCGTTTCGAATTCTCCAATGCATCCATCTTAAAATCTACGCCCTGTAACCTTCTAGCAACTGGTTTTCGCACATATGTTTGCAACATCTTTTCGAAAGCCATTAACGCTTGCCTAGTCTTCTAACGTCGGTTTCGTTGTTTGCATTGCGCTGTTGCTTTGGTGCTTTGCGTCCATGCTCTTACGGTATTTGTAACAGCAACAAAAGTGGTTGGAATAAGACTGCTTAAAAGCTACAACTGGAAAATTCTACCAAGTTGCATGGCGCTACATAAAACAAAAAATTAAAATCCTAACTATGACTTTAAAGAATTTTGAACACTCCCAGAGTAATACAATATTATATAAGAATTCGTGCTATACATATATGTATCTTCACTAATGTGGAATAGCAAAAAAGCTTCGCTTATTTTAGTACTTGTGGCAAGTTAATTTGGCATTAAATGTTGGCGGATGTGAGTATGTGCAGAATATGCCGAAGCAAAAAATAGAAATAAGAAAACTTAAGATTTACACAAATAGTGAGCTCTCAGCAAACTGACATTTAAACGCCCTACAGATAAAGTTAGACTTTTTAGACAAAAACCATATATGAACGTTTTGGAGAAGACATCTGATATCGACTCAGATATATTCTAACGGCGAAAATAAAATTACTTTCTCAGAAATCATGTTTCTGTAACTTACATCGCTTATTATAACATCAAATGTATAAAAAGTTGAATAAAAGAAAAGGAGCTGCATTGAAGCTATAATACTCTTCACATGCGCATTTCTTGTACCATAAAAGGAGATCAAAATATCCTTATATTATATGAATTTGATCGGACAGTTTGTATGGCAACTATATGCTATAGTATATAGTCCGTATCCACAAATGCGCAGCTGCTTTGCAGATTTCAGCTCGTCACGCAGATACTTTACATATATATGATGTATATGGTCTCCGACATTTCCATCTGGGTGTTACAAATTTCTTGAATCAGGTTATAAAAAATTAAATTCATAGGTAAATTTAAAGTTACTACAGCCCATATAGAACTTGAAATTTTACCGAAAGGTGTGTCTGTTGTCAAACAAATCTCTTTAATTTCATATATTCCATCGCTCTTTTCGTTGAAACAGTCTACAAACTGACTGCAGATCGGGAAAACTGCAGTTCTCTGTCGAAAGGTTTCTCTCGAGCTCAAGCTCTTCCGATGCACTTCAAATGTTCAAACACTTTTAGTACCACTATCTTTAGACTGCATTAGATAGGCATATGAGTGTGTTAGGGTTAAAATCTCGTCCTCGTCTTTTCAAAAGAATAAACCATGCTGAACTCCGTTGCTAAGACGGAAAAAAAACTAAACGAAATAACTATATGGTTATTATATATATATATGAATGATGTGGATGACGAGAAGAGTTGAAATCCGGGTGAATGCCTGTCCGTCTGTTCCTCTGTCCGTACAAGCTATTTTAAGCTAAATTAAGATACCGTTGGTATTGTAGATGGGCGTAATCGGACTTTTGCGACGCCCACAAAATACCTTTAATCGCAAAAATATAAAATAAAAAACTGTTATGTCGTGCAAAAAATCTTATTAAGGAAGGGAAATCTTTAAAAAGTGAGCGTAGTTTCACTCCCTAATAGGTTTAAAGTATGTATATACCTCCCAAACCATTTAAGTTATACCAACCAAAATTTGCAAAACACAAATCTTTTCCAACTTTTTTTACAACAGTGTGTAAATCAGATGATAACCCCGCCCACTCCTAATATAACGGTTTTGTTAAAATATACTAAAAATTCGATAAATCAAAAACAAAATGTGTCAGAAACATATGCATTGATTTGGTGTAAACCTTGGTCTAAACTTCGTATTTCTGATATAATTAATTACGTTTCTCTAGTTGACGTTTTGCACAACAACTCAATATATTATATTAATAGTTTAGCCAATCTTTTAAAATACTTTAACCATTTAAATTCAAACAATTTCTCTTCGAAGTTATAGATAAATACACTGCTATAACGCCATAGTGATAACTTAATTTTCGTAAAAATTATTTATCTTGGAATATACAAATTATTTTTATATTATTCACTACGTACTTCGATTATTTACTTTAGTGAAACCCTTTAGTCAACATTTTTTTTTGTTTTTTTGTTAAACATAAAGTAAACTTTAAAACATTTCACGAAATCCACACATTCGGCATTTCTCCACAGAACGGTCGTCTCATGATTGACCAATATTTCGAAATGTTTGGCGATGTTATAAGCCATGTCAACATGCATATCTGCGGTGAAGTCAAAGGATGGCAGTGAATACAAGTGCAAAGCAATATCGCGAGAAGGTGATCCATCGCATTTGGTACGTTTGAACTTCTACGGTTAGTGGAGCTAATAGGTATTATGACAAATAAATATCAATAAAAGCATATATGAGAGCTGGGACTGATTGACAGGATGTGCTTAACTACCGGAATATTTCGTCTGGAATGAACATCGTGACAGGTATGCCATATGTGCGCATGATGCCGGAACTATCTGCAGTAGCGGAAAAAAACTTATTTTCAATTGTCCTGCGGCAGGATATCCAATCGTCAGCATCATCATAGAGAAAGGTAAGCATGCATACGCAAGTTCATATTTATTTATTTGTAAGCGCAGATATTCCTTTCAATTTTGCTGACAGCCAATTGTAACGTTTTCATCGTCAGTCGGTTTCAATGTGAGGAGAGGTTTACGAACGAAATTCTCTTCCTGAGGGCATTCCCGATCAACGAGCTTATTGCATATTGTATAGAGTACGAACGTTACATGCAGCGTCTGGCAAGTGATAAATTTGGGGCTTTGCATGTTCAGCTGAAACGCAAATGCTCATATAAGGGAGGTTCATAAAGTAACGTATTAAATACTCACTTATATCGAATTTCAGCGGAATGTAGGATCAGTATTTTTAGTATAGTATCACATATTTTTTTTTAACCCTCGACAAATTTGTGTGGCTATTCCATTCTGGACTGGAATGCTTAAAAGCCTTAATACATTTTAAAGGTCAGTTATATTATCGTGAATGAATTACGAAATCATGTTTTAAGAATATACTATCGTTCGCTTGCAATTTTACACAGAAATAGGTTAATATTTTATCCATTTATCATTCACGTTATTTCTTGTAAATTTACTATAAACAACTAAGCAAATCCGGCATATGAGTCTCACAGAGTATATATCCGCTTTTAAAATGTATGATAATCCATTAGCCACACTACGCGATAGCTTCACTATCGTAAAAAAAATTTAGTTTCGTATTGTACATTCTCGTAAATGCTTATACAACTTCTAAGGTAGCTCAACTGGGTTTTCGATATTATTTCCATCATTGATGTTTTTTCAGCTGTTATAAAAATTTGAAACCTAATTATTGCATGGTTTCTGCAATAATATTGGATCAACTAAAGAACAATTTGCCTAAAACTTATTTGAAGACCAAAATCGTGAGCTAATTCCATTGTTGTTATGCGGAGGGGATTAACTCAGCTTACAAAATAAATTTCGTAAACGGGAAATATTTCTCTCCATCGAAAACAACACGCTAAATAATAATCTGCATGATAGAGAGTAATGTAAGAGAATATTACCGCAAAGCGCTGAAATCATGGTAAAAATCTTCGAATTTTGGCAGACAGAAAGTTTAAACAAAAGTTCTACAAAACTTTACAGCAATCAAGAAAAGCTGTCATGATCAAGCAGCTTACTAAAGTAAAAAGGAATTAAACAGGTGTTTAGAACTCAGTTGCCATATTTATGCAGGTAGATAAAGTGGCGGTGTTACGACTCACCTAGGCCTTTAGGAGGCCCATTGTGGTACCAGCGGCACCAAAGTCCCCTCACTCCGTTGGCTCCTCTCTGAACCACCCCCTACTTCTGATGAATTTCATCAGTACCGAAAGCTTTATCTATGCAACCTCCGAGGTGTCGTCAAGAAACAGTATATTTACTGTGTTTTTTAGTGAACAAGCTCTGCTACCACTGAGCTTTGTGCCGTTTTTGTGGATTTTCCTGGGTTAAGTTTGATTTTTATGTGTATTTATATTAGCTTTTCCAACAGTTTTAAGAGAAATGAGAAAAGAATAATTGGTCTGAAATCATCTGGATTAGTGTGTGAGCTTTTGTCCACCTTTGGTATATAGATCACTTTAACTTTTCTCCATAACGAGGTAATATAGTTTAATTGTAGGGCCTCTAAGCATGGTTGTTAACCAGTTTATTATGTAGCTCTGCGACTGCTGTAACTAAGCCATGAATAAACCGTCCATTTTTGTTAGCTCCTCCTTTTTAGCAGTTGCAACTGCACGTTTCTTAGCTGATAGGCAGCACGTCGCTTCTCCGTATACCTTGCTTTCTTTGGGTCTTCGAAATTAAAGCTGAGCCATTATCTGGCAGACGCACATTTATCAGCTGAACTTTTGGCATCTCCTACCTCCCCATGCTTAGTAGCCACGCTTTGGCTACAGGGTTTGGTACCGGCTGCATCTGGTGCTGCTGCTTTGGCGGAGCCAGCCTTAGCTACAGATCCCTTGCTAGTGCCTGCCTCTGTGCCCTGGCCAAGCTTCACTCCTGTTAGTGCACTGACTGTTCTCGAGCCCGTTTTAAACGCTGCTCTATTCGAGGAGCTAATAACTCTTTCCGGCTTTTTTACCGGAGATCCGGTTTCATTTAAAACTTTTTTGTTGATATTTTGGTTTATATTCTGGACCCACGAGGGAAAATATGTCCGTTTGCGCATAGCCCCGCTACGCAAGTAAGTCTACCTTATTACGGAGGGCGCCAGGTATCCGTTCACTTCCATATTGGGCTATTTAAGCGCCCCCAGCCAGGTTGATCTCTACAAATTCCCTATCTGGACGCTGTGCTATTGAGGAGCAACGAACACTCAGGAATTCAATATTCATTATTCAACAAGGATAACAATCATATTTGATGACTTATTATCTTATATTGAAGGTCATGTACTCACTTAATTTTATTAATATATTTTAATCGTGTCAACGAAAATTATATTCAATACCATCCTTAAATGAGAAATATGTGATATAAATTCATTCGAAATTTAATATAATGAGTTGGAACGAAAACCTCAACCAGAGGATAGATATTCATTATTTTAGGGCTATACGGTTTGGACCAAGCCTTAGACCGATTCCATTAGTATTCAGTGCTAAACCACAAATTTTTCCAGGAAACTTGTCCATTTAATTTCATTAAAAAATCACACATCTTAACCAACCTGAACGGTTTAAAGTCATGTGTAAAGGAAATTATAACATATGCTATATTGGTAGCTGGGAAAAGGATGGGCTGATTGCATTAATATACTTGAAAACATATTTTCAAGTAATTTTATAAATATATTACAACATAACACTGACCAGTATAGCAGGTGTGGTCAAAGAAAAAAGTGAATTTTAATTTTTCGCGGGCTCTGTACATTCGATTATCGATATTTTGTTTTTGTTATAATCGGACACATATGTTTATCATTAGCTTGCATCGGGAGCTAATTTCGATTAGTTGTTTAGTTTTGACAACCGAAAAGGTTAGTCACGTTTTTATGTGTGCTTCGATTTTTGGCTTTTGAAAGAAATGGATCAAAGAATATGTATTAAATTTAGCGTTAAAAACAGAATAAAATCAAAAGCACTTGAAATATTGACTAAAGCATTCTGTGAGTCCACTTTGTCTCGAAAAAGTGTTTGTAAGTGGTACAATCGTTTTACAGATGGCCGAGATGTTGATGACGATGAGCATCCTGAAGGTGCGACCACGTCAAGAAGCGAAGAAAACATCGAAATAGTGAAAAGGTTCTTAAAAATCGTCGACTCACTATTAAGCAAGTTGTAGAGGATGTTGGCATATCAATCGGTTTTGAGCATGAAACGTATGGCAGCGAAGTTTGTTCCTAAATTGTAAAGTTTGAGCAAAAGCATTGTCATATTAGTATCGCTATTTTGGCCAAAACCAAAACCGTAATCATGCCTCAACCGACGTATTTTCAGATTTGACTCCGTGCGACTTTTTCCTATTCCCAAAACTGAAGAAACCATTGAAAGGAAATAGTTGTGCCACATTTGATGAAATCAAGTCAGAATCGAAGAAAGAGCTGATGGCTATACCGAAAATCATTGGCACAAGTGTATTATATCCGAGGGGAACTACTTTGAAATAGATATTGATTGGTAAATAAGTACTTTTCAAAAAAAATTCTAAATTCACCATTTCCTTTGAACACACCTCGTATTCATCATAAGGCTTGTTAGAGAAACGAAAATCATTATATCTAGTTAATAGGAGTTGGGGTAATTTGTATATATGGTATAAGACCAACTGGAATTCAAAAGATTCTATATTAGGTATATGGGGTTTAAGGAATGTATTGACTCGATTTTAAAACAATATGCTTTCCGAGTTTCATTAAGGTACTTATTGTCACCAATATATATGGAGTAAAGTCAGCCGGAAGTCCAAAAATCGTGAAAGTAGTTATATGGGGACTGGGGCAAGTTTTCACTGTTGTTAGTAACTAAGATATCTTAAATATTGGCCGATATATGCGGTATAAAGTAAACCGTAAGTTCACATACCGTTGTGTTAGGTATTTGGGGGCTAAGCATAATCTGACTTAACCCATTTTTTAAAAAGTATCATTCTATTATCAGGAAAGGATTTGCTCCGAAATTCAATGGCATATCTCACAGATTCATCGATAATTTGATAAAGTGCTCGCTGTAGGAACTAGGGTCAATCTATTCGGTATCTGGGGCTTAAACAGTTACGGTGTGATTTTAACAATTTTTGATCAAAATTAACCTATTTTAGGCTCACTATTTATACAAAGTTTAATCCCGGTACATTTATGGTGATTATCATCCAATTTCACCTATCGTCACACTCTCTAAGGTCGAAAAGGTTTGCTCTGGAGATATATAAATTAAATCTAATAGCATGCCACGCCCACTTTTTAAAGATTTTCAAATCTTCAATTTATAAGTTTTCGATTAATGGCGTTTTGTGGGCGTGGAAGTAGTCCGATTACGCCCATCTAGAATACCAAACTTCTTATGTAGCCAGAGAACATGTTTACCAAAGTTTGATCAAAATACCATAATTTCTACTCAAGTTACAGCTTGCACGGACGGACGGACAGACAGACAGTCAAATTCATCAGATCATCAGTGATCAGATCATTTATGTACAATATATATAATATATATATATATATACCCTATATCTATCTCGATTAGTTTTAAGTGATACAAACAACCGTTAAGCGAACAAAAGTATTATGCTCTGTAGTAACATGTTGCAAGAATTTAAAAATGAATTTTCACGCTATTCACAATAACAAAATTATTTTTAATTTGCACTAAGTAGCTCGCAAGTCTTATAAAATATTTTCGCATATACATTTCACACATTTATACATGAAAATGCTGGCATACATAGCAAAAGCAAAGCATAGCAGAAATATGATTCAGTTTAACGGTGTTCAATTGAATGAAAAACATTACACATGTGAAACACATATCATACACCACTTACACTGTATTTTTACCGTTATCTCATTGTCCTACCTCTGCGTGTTTGCATTTTGTGCGCATTGTGTTGTTGCTGTTGCTTAAATTTCCTCTTTATTGGTCTGCATAAGAAATTTTGTGCAATTATTTTTACGGTTTCACACATCGCCAAAACAATATTTTCGAAATTACATTGTGTTCGCTTTGAAATATCGCACGAGCGAAATGTTAAAATGCCATGATAAATGTTCATTAAGATTTTTGTATGCACACATGCCAGCAACTATGCTATTCGTAAATAAAAATGCACAAACAAAAAAAGCTGTGTGAAAACAAATTAAGTTCACTTGCAAGAATCAAAACCCGGGAAATTCCTTCAGGTATCTTCCAAACCGGGACGAATGGCTTAGTCTAGACCAAATCCATGCATGTTTAGCGCTAAACTATTAATGTAACAAGGTTTGCTAGAATAACGGAAATTATTATATGTAGTATAATATAAATTCACATATTTTCGGAATTAAGCTAAAGTATATGCATGTTATACGTTCAGATAATTTTGCTAAGATATCTTACCGATATATACGGTATAAGGGCAACCGGAAGTTTAAAAATCTTTTATTATGTATATGGGAGATACATAGGTGTAGTATTGACTAGATTTTTCTAGTCTTGACCTTACTACATATTATTAACAGAAACAGATGTTCTCGGAGTTTCATTAAGGTACCCCATATACCATCAACAACATATTATATATGAAGTAATGTCAGTCGGATGTTTGAAAGTCCTGATATTAGTTAAATGGCGGCTACAGCAAGATTTTCCCATTTCGTGCTCAAAGATACATTGTTATTAGAAACAAATCACATTTTTACCGGTCTTTGAGGTATAGCGGCTACTACAAGTCCGAAATTTTTTTATTAGGTATATGGGGACTATGGAAATTACTGAATCGATTCTACCCATTTTTGGCACACAGATATAGATGTGATAGTAAGCATCAGGAAAACATTATCTCAGAATTTCTATAATAATATAAACAGGTATCTATATAGGTACTGGCGTCCGCACATTTAGTACCTGGGGGATTGAATAGTTTTCGTCCGATTTGGACAATTGGTAGTCGTAAGATGGCATACTTAAAAGACATTATTCATGAAAAGTTTTATCCAGATATATTGATTGATTTGTATACTGGAAATTGAAAAAATCAGAAGGAATTAAAAATTGTTTTATATGGGAAGTAGGCGTGGTTGTGATCTAATTACTTCCAGTTTCGCACTGTAACATGGGAATGTTGTAGGAATGTTATATATTGAATTCGGTTGAAGTCCCCAGATGTGTGATTTTACCTCAAAATGGGCGGTGACATGCCCATCGTCAAATTTTGACGCCGGTTCTTATAAACCCCTCATGTACGATCCCGTATGTAAAATTCCATGTATCTGACGCTTTTAGTTATTGGTTTATCGCACTTTTAGTATTTTTTAACAAAGTCTGTATAAGGGAAGTGGGCGTGGTTATCGTATTAATAGATACGATAGTATATAGTAACTTGAATTATTTTAAACTCGATAAATAGATATAAATAAGAAAGAAAACAATTATTTGGAATTAATTTGTGGGTTATAGTTCCAGAAACACAAGAATATAATCTAGTTTCAATATGTAAAGATTTCCGATGGTTCAAGAACGATGCTCCTTAAGTGCCATTTACATACAAGTATGTAAAGTTTTTTAAAACCTTTTAGTCGACATGCATGCTAGATATTTTCTTTTACCTTTCAGAATAACAGAGACTTTATTTATACTTTTAAAAAATATATAGTTTTTCTCCTGGTTCTGAAGCCCTGATAGAAAATATATTTTTGTTTGTTGTAGCAGCTACACAAAACCTATTTAGTGGTACGAAATATTTCACGAAACTTAAAAGAGACGTCACTTTAACAGTTTTCCCATAGAGAGAGTTAGATTAGAAAGCAATTGCATCACCTTTGGCTCCTAATATTTCAAGTTGTGCCTTAAAAAGTCGAATTTATTCCTAAATCGATTGAGCCCAATAATTTATAGCGATTATGACCTCGATTATAACTTCATAAACTGATACCCACATAATTTCTCATAATTTAAGAGGATTTATAAGAAGTCATATATTTTTAAAAAATAGATAGTAGGTCCATCCGATCTGTTTCGTGGACGTTTTAAATCTGTGGGTCTTAACTTAGCCATTATAACACTGCCAATACTTCTATTGCAAAGTTTGAACTTGTCTCAGACTGAACGTGTGATCTGTGAACTAATTTGCGTCCTTATAGGAAATTTGTGAGTTCTTGTAACGGTTTATACATAAATACATCCATTCACATCGCGATTTTTGTAGCAGATCTGAATTACCGTCCTACATTTATACTTTCATTATATCTGCAACTGAAACTTCATTGAAACACTCGTAAACATAAATTAAATACATTCCATAACCTTTTACTGTACCTCAACCACATTTACCTTGTCAACTTCCTCAATGCAATTGCACTTGATAAACATGCCAGTCTGCTTGCCATGAAAGTGTAAGTGAATGAGCAGCATGCAGCACACGCACCACAAATTTAGCACAACATTAGGCACCAAATCACTCACCAATAAATATCTTAATTTTTACACTGTGCACATTAAGCTTTCGCGCATAACTGCATTCACTTTTTTCCAAATATATCTTGTTTGAATTGTAGCAAAGCATTGGGGCTCTACTCTTAACTAACTACTCAAAACACGTCCGTTGCAATGCACTAATTTATTTCGCACGTTTTCTGGTTTTCCTCTCTTTGTTTATCCTTTCCTAAGTCTAGTATTACTTTTTAATGTTTTCCTTCTCCTTTTTGTCTCCACCATTTATATTGTGTGCACATCACGATTTACTTTTTGCACTCTGCATCTAAACCTGCATTTGCATCTGCATCAGCATTGCGTATTCGAGACGCGGCGTCATGGTGCGGCGCTCAAACGGCACTCACCGCACAGTTTTGTGTTTTGTCAACATCCAACGCTCGAGCGCCGGATCCGCGTGCAGCCAACCGTCGACAGTGAGCGAACAGCCGTTAATTACTCAACCATAAGTACCTGTGTATAAATATATATGTATGTACAATATAAATGGATTCCTCATTATAAGTCGTTGTGCGGTCGTCCTTGTCTAAACAATGTTTATGGGTAATGGTTAAGTGGTTTGCGGTCAAATGATTTATACCGAAGTTATATCGGACATATGTGTGTGCAAATATAATGTGGGTAATATGATATACATGCATTTTCGCTAATAATGGTCCAAGTTTCATAAACATAACATAAATAAGTATAGGGTATCATTGAGTTATTATAAAGCTACGGTGGAGGTCAACATCGAAGGTCAAGTATGTTATAACGAATCCTTACGGTTTGACAGACTCGCGTTTAAGTTTGTTAATAACTTCTAGGGTGATATTTCGTTTGATCGACTTTTTTTGATCGATGTTTTACGAGAGATATTAACCAATTCGTAGAAATGGAGTAATGTTCAACCGACAACAACTATGGAGATAGTTTAATATTTGGAAAACATCCAAATGATGTTATTTTTAAAAGAGGCTGTAATTGAAAATATAGAAAATCATATATTTGGTATTTTTTTATTGACTTTAAACGATATCATGCATGTTGCATTGTATATATTGGCAAACTTGTGTAGTATTATTCCAATTTTTTCAACGCTGTGCAATTAACTGATTGATTGTCTCTGGTCTCCGAAGGTATTTGATTCACTTTTGATCACGATTCGATAAACTGAATTCTTTAAAAATGTAATAAAATTGGTACCTAATTACCTTTTCTGTAGAGGTGGCCAGTTTGCCTTAAATTGTTGTTGGTGTTTCAATAAATTGGTCACAGGTACATTGCATATGGAAGGTACTTACTTTTTACGAATGTGAACATCTCGTTAATCCATCACCAAACTACAATACAACCTTGAAAAAATTAAAAGAACCCTTAAGGCTGAAACTCAGCGTAGCCAGTTTTCATCTCTTGTTTTGGTAAACAATTTTGAATACTTGTTCTGATAAAAGGGGGCCTATATTATGTGACAGAGAATTATTTTCTGAAAAAGGGATTCAACTTGTTTTGATATCGAGTACGCATAAATTGTTTGAAGTTATCAAAATCAGACAGATTAATTTGTTTAAGCAATATTCGTTAATATACACATATATTATTATATAAAGACGGATTACATTCTGATCTAAAGAACTAGAACTAAGAACGAAAGTAAAATGATGTCGCATACCTTTTCATTACTAATGAATCGATCAAACAGATTTTTGCGATATCAAAGTAGCAAGTTTTCGTAATTAATTTCTCATATTCTGAACGTTTGAAATTTCTACAAAGCTTTTTTTTGTTGGCAAGTTGTAGGTATATCTTAAAAATTTTTCCTTTAATTATTGAAAGTTTAACCGCATGATGATGGCCACGGGTATGGTTAATACTGGGACTAATAGACATGATAGTAAAGTCCACTTTAAAGAGTGGCGCTCTCGAGTTGTGAGGCTAAGTAGCTATACGTCCTCTTAGTTGTAGTAATTGAAGGTATTCTTACTATTCGCAATACAGTCGGTTGAAAATTGTCGGCTTGCCATGTAAAAAGATATCAACTAGTTCTTCACGACATCTTCTCATTGTATAGGATATAACAACCCAGATTTTTTATATGCCTTATTTAATTTCCTTTTCTTATAGCTTAACTTTTTTTCCTTCTATTTACAGCTATAAAATGAAATGGGATTTTGTTCCCAGAGCTGCTATCCGACACGAAGATCATGGTGTGTGGAGGAATTTAGAAGAAGTGGCGATCTCATCCACTAAATAAACGGAAGACGACAATTTCAGGTAATATACTAAAGACAGCTCCACAATATGTACTTAGAAAAAAGTCTTTCACTTAGACAATCACCACACCACACATGGCCCTAAATACAGGAACTGTGGACTTTTAATTGTCCGTGGAGTGGCAATGAGATTGGTGTGCGAAATTCACATAAATGAAATATCTTTATGCTGAAGTTGGAAGTTTTTACTTTGCTAAGAAAGCTGACTACTGAGTTCAACTCTCTGCTAATGAACTATCTAAGTTCTTTGCTAAAACCTATAAGAAGAAAGTAAAAAATTGTAACGGTTTGTAACGCTTATAATAAAAATAAATAAAATGTATAAACTAAATAATTTGTAGTTTTAATCTTTTTACTCCGGTAGTAAGTCTGTAAGAAATACGCCAATGATTACAAAAGGTTTCAAAGTCAAATGCTTCGGGAGAAGAGAAATGGAAGATTGTTTGTGATTAACATTATAACCAACAACAATAGATGGGTTACCTGTTGGCTGAAAAATGGATGAAATTCTTCAAACGTAAAATAGGTGTGTACAACAGACTTAAAGCAAAACTTCCTCCAAATAGAAATAGAACTGGTAGATAGAAAAACCGATTGTCCCACTCAAAAGTAATATATAAGGTTTTTAAATAATAATAAAACGACTATCGATTTCATCGCAAAAATGTCAATATGGCATCAGTAGACTCAAAGTCATTATCCAAACTCAAAAGATATTCTAAAGTTTTTAAAGTTTTTGAAAATCCTGCATATTCGTTTTTTTTTTTAACTGCTTTCACTTACCTGATCAGAAGAGTACTTGAGAATTGACTAAAAAGTCGAAATTTAAATTATAGCGACCTAATGATTTTGCCATTAATTGTTATTGCAATATATATGTATATGAAAATATTCATTAAAAGTCTTTAATAATTAGCAATAATAATCACCGAACAATTTTCAAACTTATGAAAAAATCTGATCACCCTAATGTGCATACGCACAATAATATTTCAATTTCAAGCGGCGACCGCATGACTGCAACTGCTGTCAACGCCATTTCCTGTCACAAATTGCTGGCGCAACAACAGTAAGCACAAATGCAAAATAACAAAAATAACCATTTCCGTACAAAACAATGCAGCAAATAGTTGGCCGAGCTTTTTCCAACTACCGCTTTCTTTTAAATGTGAACATTTCATTGGTGCTGTTGTTGTTTACTCTTATGTTGGTTTGCCGGCTGGCTGGCTAGACCATTGTTGGTTTATGCTCGCACTATCAATTAGGAGCAAAGTGTAAAAAAAACCAAAACCAAAAGCGAGCATTAAACCATGCAACAACAGTGTGACTAGATCCGAGTTACAACAATAATAACAAAAACAACACCCACAACAGTGACCCAATCCACATTCAGTTCAATCGTAGTCGCTGGAAACTAGATTTTCAATTAAATTTTGAACCACAGTCATGTGAGCATTTTGGCATAAAACGAGAGTAAATTCATAGTCACCACAGTAGGGAAAATATTTGATGGTATACAATTTTCTAGTTTTCTGCTGGCTTAAGGTTTCTATTGCGTATTAAAATTTTCAGCGAACTTTAATTTTGTTTAAATTAAAAAAGAAAAAAATTATCAGGGTGATTTCTCGTCTAATTTTTGCAAAATTTAAAACAGGTTATTTTTTCTAACAACGATCTACCTGCAGACTGCAATTTAGTTTAGTTTGTAATGCATGTAGATTGCTTTAAAACACAGAGGCAACTGACCACAGACACGCGAACTTCAGCCATCATATTGTGAACCTGATAAATTATGACATATTTGTGATCGTACGCAGACATACTAAACAATCTTGCTTGAATATTACAATAGATCAACTCATCTGAGAGTTAATTGTGCTTTATTTGCAGGTCTTGTAAGACTCTTTTCTAAAGCTCATGCAAGATATGTTCTACTACGATGTTGAATTGCACATATTGCCTCCAGACATAGAATTGGAGTACATGTATAGGAATATTCCGATCGGTCGTGTGTCTAGTAGACATAAGTTTTAAAACCAATATTACCCTGGTAATTCTCCATATTCGCTCTTATGCTACTTTTGACTAAGAAGGTCATAATAGAGTTAAGCCCTTTGTCTACTTATGGAAGTAATAGTTCTTTCATAATGCTGTTCTGCTTATGTTTTATAAACCTGAACAATAATAATATTCTCTTAGGTGGATTCTGAAGTGTTTAAAAGTAAGATGCTGCGTAAAATTTATGCACTTTTTTGATTTGGCAACAACGAATATTGCATACAAGATGTAAGTACCCTGTGGTCCCCAAAACATTTAACCAAATAAGAACTGTCAACTTGCGTGAATATTTTGTCCGAATTGATAATAGTTATTCATCTCATGTGGTAGAAAAGTGAGGGACACGAGAATAATTTAAATGTTTCAAATTTGTCTGCAGCTTATGAAACAAATTAGTGAATGGAACGTTCTTTCTTTGGATGTTGGAAACTATTTTTACGACGGACGAATTTATGTAACCTGAACGGAACCGGTTTCACATTTGATACAGGGCTGTCACCTGGACAGCATGCTCCAAAACTACAATATTTAGAGAGTATCTTATGCCGCTACTATTACTATAGTAGCTTATCACGAAGAAGATATAGAAGAAGTAAGAACTTTGGACGAGTTGGAGTTTGAATTAGTTTTCAATTTGACAATATCACTTCTATATATCAACAGATTTTCCAGCCGGCAACGTCGCATTAGCATAATGGGTATACAAGTACTTCGAAAGGTTAGTCGTTGCATAATTCCTTCACCTAAAGTTTCGCATCCTGCTTTCGGCGCGTGTATAATATGCAATGCATTTGTTATTGCAGTAATTGAGTGCAAGCATAAACGCAAAACGAATTGTGTGAGTGTAAAATGTGCGAAATTTATCCATGCCCAGACGTCCAACAAATTTTGTGAAATTATAGAAAACAGCTGCTATTTATAATAAGCCATAATTAAAGCTGCCAAAGCTGCGAATGTCAAGTGCTGATAATTGCGTTGACCGCAAAACGACAGAAAGGAGACCGATACATAAACATAATCAAAAGTACGCTAGGGTTACTGAGTGTGTGACCCAAAAAGACGCATTAAAATGTATGTATATATAAACGGTAGACTATGGTGTACATAATAATTTATGTACCCAATGTTTGCATCATTGTGATTTAAATATATACACTGGATCATTGAATTTTGATCCAGTGCGCTTACCTTGGATTCCATATTACCATAAGGCAGGTAATTTTTATGGCGATCCTAGGAAACTTAGAAAACAATCCGTTAAGCATTTCTCTAAATATAAATAATATACTGAAGTAACTACCATCTAAAAACATTCCTTTTATTGGTGGAAACCCTGGAAATCAAATATTGTTTGGTTGAGATATTGAAATGATTCTTCATGCTGCACTTAATCTAGCAAAGTACCAAGTGTGCCACGGAGTTTGCAGAACCCAGAAGGAAACTTATTTGCCCTAAAAACAAGGATTCAACGTTAACGAGATCTATATTTTCAATTTAAAGGGGATTGCAGTAGCAATGGACACTTGTGGGCTAAACATATTTTTAAAGTGGGCGTGGCCCCATCTTCTTAATGGTTTAATGTCCTATTTTCTAAACTGCTGAAACCAAATCAACTAAACTTGCTGACAAGAGTTCCCTTTAGAATTTCATATACATTGTGAAAATGGGTAGGATTCGATAATAACCACGCCTACTCTCAATATAACAGACATGTTAAAAACTACTAAAAGTGCGATAACTCACTGAGTAAACGCGCCACAGCATTAAATTTAACAACCAAGATGGTAGGGAAAGTGTTTATAGGTGTAAAAATTGGACAAGGTTCGTGGCACCGCCAACCTTTGGTTGAAACACTATATTTCAGTAACTACTTGTCTAATTTCAACCACATTTGATGTGTGAGGTCGCTGACATTTCAATTATGCACTGTGAGACAGGGCGACATCGAACGACAAACATGCTTGCTTCCCATACAACACATTTTTAAATTCCATCTGATTCTTCCACTTTCCAGTATAGTATCTAACAGCAATGATGTTGTGCGAATAAAGCTTTGTACAAATAGTGTCCTGAATCTTTTTCATCTTAGGTCAAATATTATCAAAATCGGATTATAAATTTTCAAGGACCCTGACAGCAAATATGTGAACCTCAGTGCATACGGCTGATTTTTTTTACCAAACTGTTTTTTTACAAGATCTGTGAGATATATAATTGAAAGTAGGTGAAAATCCTTTGCTTATAATAGAATGTCTGTATGACAAAAACGAGTTGAATCGGGTCAGTACTTTCTTAGCTTTTATATACCTAATATAAATATTTTTGAAGTTCCGGCTGACTTTATACCCCATATATCGAGCAATATGTGAGTGCATCTTTGTGCCTAAAATGGATAAAATCGGGCCAATACATTCCTGGTGTTTATTCGTCGGAGAAACTAATATTTTCGAAACCACAGTTCAGATCAGACCATTATCGTATATAGCTCCCATATAAAGCAACCAATCATTGAGAATCGTAAACAACTTTTTCTTGTATTAAGTAATCGTAAGGCAATTTGAAGGTTGTTTATATCAAATAAGGTGGCATACATGCTATAGTTGATATTAAAATTCGAAGTGAGAAGAGTATTATAACTTCGTTGCAGCCGACTCTTGTGACTCAATTTAAGTTGGTAATGTTTTAAGGTCTGATATATTTCTCTATCCATTTGTAGTACAATATTTAAAGTTGTAGTTGTATTCGGGGAAGTTACTTACATGATTTTTATGAAGATACAACACTCCTTTTGTTCAATTTGAACGATTAATAAGGAAGCGTTAAAAACAATAAGACACACCGGGTACAAATATAATAAATCTACTCTCGTATATAAAAAAAATAAGTGTGGTAACGCGATTAAATTAGTGGTCGCCAAACTTACACATTCAAAGAATTTATTTTTTGAGAGTGTGTGCGTGCGGGGAGGTACTCAACTATCTCTGTGGTAAGTTTTTTCTGGACCCCACATTTCTCAGTTGAAGTGTAATCACTGCTTTACTGTAATAATTTTTTGTATGAAAATACTGTGCAACTATTTTCTAACGCTTATGTTCTAATTAACAATCTAATTATTTATAATTTTACTAGTATTGTAAAATAAATACTAATGAAACAAAAACAAACCACAATGTATGTTTTAATTAAAAACAACCAACAACTGATATACCAATGAAATGTGATTCTAATTGTAAGCAAATGCAAGCAATTCGAGACAGAGCGTGTGATATAAAA